TGGGTCAGAGAGAGACCCTGCCTCAAATACCTAAAGCTCTCTCTGATCTGAGGTTTTGACAGAAAAACCAGGAACCCTGGGATTTCAACGGGCTGTGACTGACCTTGGGGAAGAACTGTCTTCAAGGTGTAGAGGACCCTGATAAGTCAAGATCCATAGAGAACAACAGACCTGGGCACATATCCAAGCTCCAGCTACATTCCAGGCTCAAACCCCCTGCCATGCTCATCATACCCATATCTTGTTGGAAATGTCAAAGCTCAAGCCCTGGCCAGGCCTGCCAATCAGAGTCTGCACTTGACCCAACTCCTTGAGAACTCTACCCTGGCTGAGGACATTCACTCTGCACAGCTGGGTCCCAGCTGGGTCCCAGCTTCCTCCAGGGAGAGAGAGAAGTGATCTCTTCCTTCAAGGACAGCAAGAAGACTGACAGAACCCAGACGTTGCAGGCATCTGATTAGCAGGCTGCCTTGTCCTCCTGCCTCCCTTGTCTCACTCCACAAGGAGAGCAGAAAGAGTGCTGCCCTCCCCAGCTCCTCCTCTCCATCCTCGGATGTAGCTGAATTATAATGAAAGGAAAACACTTTGAGCTGGAAAGTGCTCTGCTCAAAGCCTTCTGCTTCTAGCTGTGAGCCTCCAAGGAGATAGGAGGGAGGGGGGGTCCAAGTCTCCTCCAGTGGAAGGGGTGAGAGAAAGGCCAAGGACAGCTGCAAGGGCCTGTCAAGCAAGGGCAAAGGGGCAGAAATGGCAGGCCCCCAAAAGTGAGGAGGGCCCTATTTCCTAGTAAAGAAGACAAAACACTTCATTTGCCCTAAGCCTTCATAGTCTCAGAGGGTCTCGGGCTCTGCCAAGCCCGAGCACTACAAGAAAAGCAGAGATCCGCATCACTAGCTTCTCTAAAATACTGACTCCCCCAGAGCATTACAGCCATTGTCAAGGGCTCTCTGTGTTTTATGCTAAACAATTTTTTAGAATTATCTAATAATCTGCACAGAAACTGGGTTAAGAGATATTATTGTCATAAACCCCTCACCACTACTAACACACAGAGAGAGACACACACGCACGCGCGCGCACACGCGCGCGCGCGCGCACACACACAGAGAGTCAAAAGGTTTCAAAGTCACACATCAGCAAGTCACAGTGCCCAGACTTACTAAGTTCAGGCCTTGGGCCTCTGTACCTGACTTCAGTCTCTATCTCCAACTGCAGGATACCCCAGGAGAGGAGAACTAACAAGCTAGGAACACCATAGAGCCAAAGACATTGTGCGGTTTCTGAATTTGGCCATAGATTAGAATCTCTTGGAAGAATGGAGATGAGAGGAGGAAGACAAGAAGGAAGAAGGAGAAGAGGAGGAAGAGGAGAGGAAGTAAGGAGAGAAGGAGGGGAGGAAAGAAGAAATGAATGAATGGAGAAATGGAGGGAGGGAAGGAAACGAAGGAGGGAGAGAGGGAGGGAGGGAGGGAGGGAACCTGAGCCCCACCCACAATCAACTGAATCAAAACCCTGAGAGAGGGGCCCAGCTGCTACACTCTTTGACTGTTGCTAGATGAGTCTGAAGCATAAAGTGGATTGTGAAGCCGTCTTCCTCCCACCTCCCTGTCTAGGCTCCACTTTCTCTCCTCTGCCCAGGAGAACAGAACACCCACTCTTTACCTAGAAGGTAGGAGATGAATAAAGGCAGAGAAAACAAGATAAAAAGCCAGGTTTGGGGGCAATGATTCCTAAAATCTCAAGCATCCAACTTGATGTAAAAGCAAGTTGTATTGATCATTCTTCATTGTCATCTTGACTGGCTTTGAAATCACCTGGGAGACACACATCTGAGCATACCTCTGTGACGTTTAACTAAAGAGGAAAGACTCACCCTGGGTGTGGATGGTCCCCCTCTTAGTTACTTTTCAATCACTGTGATGAGGCACCCATGACTAACGCAACTCACAGAAGAGTTTATTTGTGACTTATAGTTTCTGAGGGTTAGAGTCTGTGACTATCGTGGCAGGGAGCATGGCAGCAGGCAGGTAGGTGCTGGAGCAATAGCTGAGAAGCTAACATCTTGAGACACAACCACAAGGCAGAGGGAGAGTTGCCAGAAATGGCATGACTTTTGAAACTTCAAAGCCCATTCAAGTGACACACCCCCTCAATAAGGCCACACCTCCCAATCCTTCCCAAACAGTTCTACCAACTAAAGACCAAGTATTCAAATATATGAGCCTATGGGGGCCATTCTCATTCGAACCACCACAGTACCATCCCATGGGCCTGGGCTCCAAACAATAAAAAAAGGAGAAAGCAGGCTGAGTGCCAACTTTACTCTCTCTGCTTCCCTAATAGGATATAATGTAACCAATGCCTCATTCTCCTGCCCCCACACCTACCTCCATCACAATTGATCATACCCTCAAAACAGGATGCAAATGAGTCCTTCAATCGGTTATTTCTGTCAAATACTCTGAAATGGAAGAAGTGATATAGAATTCCTGGTAGTTATAGTCTACTCTCATCTCTCTAGTGTGTTATTTTCATGCTAAGAGTGGAGAAGAGGACTTACCATAACCAGAAGCTATGTGCCCACCCCCAGAAACATCTCCAGTGTCTTAATTAGGGCTATTATTGCTATGATGAAACACCATAACCAAAAGCAAGTTGGGGAGGAAAGGGTTGATTTCACCTTACATGTCCAGATACACAGTCCATCACTGAAGGAAGTCAGGACAGAAACTCAAGCAGGACAGGAACCTGGAGGCAGGAGCTGATGCAGAGGCCATGGAGAAGTGCTGCTTACTGTCTTGCTCCTTGTGGCTTTGCTCAACCAGCTTTCTTATAGACCTTCTCATGAGGCTCTTAGAGGATTTCCTGACAGGCTAAGGCCCAAGTTGTTATCCCCCTATCTTCTCTATGATTTGTAAGCAATAACATGTAGCCCAGGCTGACCTGAAACTCCAGTCCCCCACACTTGATTTTGGGTTCCTAAAGTCTGTCAGAACTGCCCAGCCCTTTCACAGTAACAATGTGCCAGGAGTGTGGGCTGCAGAGACCTTGACTGCGGAGCAATAGCTTAAACTCTGAGATCATGAAGAAAACCAGAACAGAGCAAAGATTTGCCCTTCCCTTCTCTACAGTTGACGGTTATTTTCAACACATCCACCCACTAGAACCCTAGGGACAGGAAGCTTGGGTTTGAGGTGGGTACAGAAGACAGGAAATGGCAATAGCATCGAGCTTCAGCCCTTTTTGTTTTCTACCCCCCACCCGTGTGTGTGTGTGTGTGTGTGTGTGTGTGTGTGTGTCCCTCCATCTTATTCAATTCAATGAAGTGAAATTTTTCAATCAAACCCAGAGCTTGCCATTTGACTAGTCTGCTAGTCAGCTTTCTCTGGGGATCCCACCTTTGCCTCCTAGGCTGGAATGACATAGGAGCTACCACATCCACCCAGCACTGACCTACTTCTGGAGCTCTGAATGCCAGCTCTCACACTTGCATAGCAAGCATTGTAACCACTGAGCATCCCTCCCAGCTCTGTTTTAAGCCTCATTGTTTCTGCCTACCTCTAAGTCCCTGGGCTCCTTCAATTCCAAAGAATCTTGAAATACTCTCTCCTTGGATCCTGACATGCAGAAAATACAGGTCTCCCCCCAAAAAAGCTTGCTCAAACAATAAGCAAGCACGGCTATTTACATTGCTTAAAGCCTTAGGAAGATTTACAAATCAGCCTCTTGAGTGTTTCTGCACAACTTTCTTTGCAAGCATTTCTCCTGGCCCAGACTGAGTTAGTTGGCTTCGGGAAAGCCCTGCTGGGGTCACCATCAGGTGAACAGCAGCTCACACTAGCTCTGGACTGACCCAAGTCACACTTAATCCGGCTATTAAAAGCCAAGCCCCAACCTGACTTGTATTCACCCACTCAGCATGGGGAGGGGCTGGCCAACATCCACCTGGCCCAGAGCTTCTCTGGTATAAGGCCAGGCTCCCCTGGAGAGGCTCAGAACAGCATAGGATGCATATCAAACCTGGAGGTCAGATGATGGATGAGGCAGGGGGATTCCACTGGGTGGGTCGGCCCTGCTAGGCCTCAGGACATCACCATCTTGAACTGCCCCTATATGATGCTATGTCTGAGTGCTTGGTCAATTTAAAATGTCACCCCCTTCAGCCTTCACCACATCACAGCTGCCTGGCTTCATGTTCTAGGCAGTGACCTGAGCTCTTAAATCCTAGTCATATCACTGTCAACCTGTTACTGGTCAAGACAAACCAAAGCTACTACAGAGATGTCCAGACCCCTCCCCCCCAACATGATCAGGACCCCTCTCACTGGCTTTCCCTTAGGGACCAATACTACTCTCTGTTTTCTCACAACCTGGCCCATCTATAGCAGCCTATGCCATTTCATATAGTCTCTATGACAGCTGAGTAATGTAGAGCATGCAGACTCCACCCTGAAGTCCCATCCATGCTGTTTTAAACATGAAATATCATCTAGCCCATGTCAGAATGAGCCAGATGGCCAACTTCTAGCTAAGGCAGTCAGTGGTTCATTTGTTAGATTCTTTCTACTCTGTGACAAGCTGGGCAGATCCCTGTAGAATGTCCCATGGGATACACAGAGACTTAATTCAAGATTTTATAGGGCTGAAGCCCTATAATGATGGGCTAGCACATGTGTGATGTGATGACTTCTAATCAAGTCCATGATAAACAGACCATATCTGAGTGAACAACGAGGGGATCTGAGGTGCAGGAAGCTTCCAGCTGCTCACAGATGTGGGGGCTGGGCTATATTCCTACAATATGTGAGCCTATGTGACCCTTTCTTCCCTAGCTATTTGTCACTATCTTATCTAAAACTGGGTTTGCTATTGTCACGTCTCGTAAACCTGTCTGCTGGAAAATTCTCTGTGGTTAAAAAAAGTGTAAGATAAAAAAAAAAAAACTTAGAAAAATAAGCAATTATTTTATTTCTACTTCAAAATATACTATATACATGGGGGACCCTAATGGGGAGAGTCGGCCATGAGGTGACTCCATCATAAAAATAAAATAAAGTAAAAAATAATAATTTCCCGTTTCAGACTCATCTTTAACCCGGCTGCTGCAGGCAGACGGTTCCAGTCATCTTGCTGTCGAGGAACGTTCCTCTACAGGTGACTTTGTCATTGCCCCCAGGGACTCAGAGTCTAAAAGTCCCTGGAGTGTCTTGAGGACATGCTGGGGCTGATTGGCAGCAAAGTCCTGCAGCCGGGACCCCATTTGCTCCTGGAGGAGGCCGGCCAGCCTGCACACCACCGTGCGGACATTCCCGCCACGCCCAGGCAGCACACCGTTGCCGATCATTTTGTTCAGGAAGTACCAGAGAACTGGAAGGATGTGCCGCTCCACCGCCTGAGGCTTTCGGGGATACACTGAAGCCACCAGCACTGCCACAAAGAAAAGATGGAGGGTCATTTGAGGGTCTCTCTTCCCCCTTCTCTCTCTAGCATTACCAAGTTTGTGCTCCAGAGAGCAGGCATCCCAGCGGGCCCTATTTCCCACCTAGCCCCCTGTGCTCAAGCCTCATGACATTCAGGGGCCCTTAAAATGTTTCAATTTACTTTAACATCAGAAGAGAAATATTAGTTTGTATTCATAACAGTCATAAAATATACTTTTTTATGAAAGAAAGGACCACAAAGCCAATGCAAATGAGGTAGGCCCATGACCATCTATCTTAATGTGGTCCCTCAGCCCCGGGGAGTGAACCCCACCTCCCTGGGCCTTTTTATGTTTGTAAAGTAAGAATTGCAGGCCTAAGCCAGGCTCTCAAGATTGTTAGAGATCCCATCCTAAATAAATGTCAAGTAAGCAGGTGACAAATAGTAGCTAATATTAGCATTGCATAAATCCATACTGCCACCTGGGAGAGTCACAGCAACACAGAGAAATGCTACACTAGCAATGTGACCTGTTAGGAAAGAAGTTATTCTAGAGACTTACCTGTACCCGTCTCTTTGCCTATCCAACTATGGAGACAATGGTCCCTAGCAAATGGAATTTCCCCAGGAACCTTGAGCTGAGAGAAGGAAAAGGACTTGTCTCCCTGAACCTTGTCATACCACCTTGCAGTAAGGCTGGAGATGATGAGGATGGACATGACTGTACCTGGTCTGGGACAATGTGACTATGTACACCTCTATTCCAACCTACACTTCAGGTCAGGACCCCAAAGATAGACTGAGGGAGACCGCTGAACCTCTTTGTTGTTTCTCCCAGTGTGGTCACATTGAATAAATCTCTTTTTTCTACTTTCCCTTCTTACTTGTTCTTTAATTGGCTTGTTGAGGATCAGTAGCTGAAACTAGCTTGTTAGGGCTGCCAGGGTCCGGACTCCAACTCTAGCAACTCCAGTAACAGAGAGAAAAGTTGAGAGTCTCCGAAGAAGCAGTCTGGCATATAAAACAGCTAGCAAGGAATAAGACCCACAGGGCTTCCCCAGCACCTGAACACCTATGTCATGATCAAGCAACAGTCTGTGAGGATGAATGTGTGTGCAAGCCATCAGGCTCAAAATAGACCCTCCATCCCAGTGAAGAACCCCAACCCTCTAACCCATATGAACCTTCAGCAAGCTCCCTATCACCAAAGTAGGTACCAGGGCTGCAGTCAATGTCAAAGCCTCCCCAGGCCTTCACGGAGAGGTTGCCCTGGCCTGAAGCTATGACTATTATCCTAAGTACAACAGTGCTATCCAACACACACACACACACACACACACACACACACACACACACATGCCCACTCTGCCTGGCATCCTGGTCAAGTGTAATAAATCCAAGAACAGTGATTAATTGATTTATGGGGCTAAGAAACTAGAAGGTTCTGGGAGACTGTATGGGCCTAACCATATCTGAAAAACTACTCCAATCCAAGACTGGGAACTTCAAGGCTCCATTTCATACTAAAAGGATGGATGTGAGCCCATTGTTCAGGGGAGGAAAACAAGATTCAGGCCAAGGACTCCTCCTTCATTAAGACCTTGTTGAAGACAGAGGCCAGTTTGCCTTGATCCAAAAGCCTGCACCCACACTGTCCTCCAAATTTCAGGGAGTTCCATGTCTCAGAGGGTAGTCTAGAGCTTTAAAATGACCACTTTGTCCCTCTCTCACCATCTTAACATCTTCCAAACCCAAGGGTGTTCCTTTGATTTCAGAGACAGTGGGAACCAGATGACCCTTGGGTCAGACTGATACTCTCCACAGCATTTCCAGGGAGTGTAAATGTTAGCTATGACTACCCCAAGGTTCCTGCATCCTATCTGGGGGGTCCCCTGGGAACACCAATGGTCACAGTTCTCTCAGCTGTCAAAGTGGTGACTGGGAACAGGTCTGCACTCTGCAGCCATGTAGGCATCACTGGGAAAGGCTCCGATACAGAGAGCCCTGGAGAGGTTCCATGAAGAGGGGGACTGGCTGGACAAACTGAATGCTTTGTTCTCTGGGCTTAGAGAAGGCTGTGTTGGGGAGCAGTCACCAAGAAGGCAGAGGAGTGGCTCAGTAGCACCAAAAAAGGGAGGCAGAGGAGGCAGGAGAGAAGCAGTGACATATATTCAACAGCTAAAATGTTTCTGTCTCTGGGAGCTCATCCACAAAACCAAAGTGAGGCCATGAAAAATGTACTGTGCACTCTGTGGTAGCATTACTCTCACAGCAGCCCAAAGCTAGGAGTAGCCTGGTATTCATCATCAGGTAGAGGGTGAACACAGTCAGAGATGTGCATATCTCTATCTCTATCTCTATCTCTATCTCTATCTATATCTATATCTATATCTATATCTACCTTCCTTCAAAAGAAAACTCTGGGGATAAGAAAATGGTAGTCAGTAAAGTGTTTGCTTAAAAGCATATGGGTCTGAGTTCACTCCCTCAGAATTTACATCTTTAAAAAAAAAAAGCCAGATAATGACTTTTTTTAAGCCAGGCATAGAAGTATACAATTATCATCCAGCATCGGGGAAATACAGACAAGAGAATTTCTTGGCTGTCTGATCAGCTTAGCCAAATTGATGCACTCCAGGTTCACTGAGAGTCTCTGTCTAAATAAATAAATAAATAAATAAATAAATAAATAAATAAATAAGGTGGAGGAGACTGGAAAGCTAACTCAGCGGTTTGGAGCACTTGCTGCTCTTACAGAGGACCAGGGTTCAGTTCCTAGCACCCACATGGAAACTTATAATCACCTGTAATTCCGGTTTCGGGGATACAATGCCACTATTAATCTCCCGGGGCTGTTACTTACATATGATTCACAGGCATATACTCAGGGACACACACACATAGAATAAGTAAATATTAAAAAAATAATAAGGTAGAAAGCAACTGAGGAAGACACCTCTGGCTTCCACATGTACACATATACACACCTACCCATGCACACACACACACACACACACACACACTAATGCCTGCTACAACATGGGTGAACATTGAAGACATTATACTAAGTGAAATAAGCCAGTCTCCAGAAGATAAGCTGTGTAGGAGTCCACTCACATGAAGTGCCCACAGCAGTCAGTCTCTCAGAGACAGGAAGCAAAATGGTGGTTGCAGGGACTGAGGGGAGCAGAGAGTTATTGTTTGATAGGGTGAGAGTTTCCAGTTTCACAAGATGAAAAGAGGTGACTGGTAGTGATGCTTGGACAACATTATGAATGCATTCAATACCAAAGAACCTTTTTAAGTGGAGACAGTGGTAAAGTTCATGTTATATGTATCTTAAAACAATAAAAAATGGAGGGAAATGAGAGAAATCCCAAGAACCATCCCTACCACCAGCCTTAACTCTTGACCCTAATTCTTTTTTTTTCTTTTTTTATTAGAAAGAAAATTATTTTACATGTCAATCCCAGGTCCCTCTCTCTCCCCTCCTCCCCTGCCCCCCCCCCAACTAACGCCCTATCTACACCATACCCTTTCTGCTCCCCAGGGAGGGTGAAGCCTTCCATAGGGGGTCTTAAAAGTCTGTCATATTCTTTGGGGTAGGGTCTAGGCCAGCCCCCTTGTATCTAGGCTCAGGGAGTATCCCTCCATGTGGGATGGGCTCCTAAAGTCCATTCCTATGCTAGGGATAAGTACTGATCCACTACAAGAGGCCCCATAGATTTCCAAGGTCTCCTCACTGACACCAACATCCAGGGGGTCTGGATCAGTCCCATCTGACCCTAATTCTAACCCAGTCCAGGAACAAAACACTGGCCTCCACCAATGAGGTCACCACTCCTTCCCCTATCAGGCCCCTCTTCTGTCCTGCCATGGCTTAACCTTTAATGAAGTACACTCACTCTCTTGACCTCCAAAGACCAAGAACAGCAACCTGCCCAGCTCAGCTGCCCAGCCCACACTCCCTCCCCCACCCACATCTTAGCCACCTCAGAGCCACGGTCCCCAAGCACAGGGACATGGTAGTCACTCAACTGGCCAGGTCAGTCTCTCAAGTTGGCAGAGGGACAGAAGCCCTCTAGAAGCCATTGTGAGGGAGCAATCCCATTAAACTTAAACTTAAAACACCACTGAAGTAATTACAAAAGATTTCCTCTTGGTGGGATATACTGTTCTAGTCAGTACCTATGTCAGAGGCATTTCTAGAAAACACCTAGTTATCAGAAATGCTTGGGAGAAACTTGTTTCTGAGGTCTCTTGAAAAGAAATGGGGAATATTAACAGTCAGTGGATAATCTACAGTGAGACTCCTCATCCACCCCAACCCACTAAAAGTTACCTATGGGTATTTGTTTTGTTTTTGGATTTTTGAGGAAGGGGTGATTTGTTTTTGTTTTTGTTTTGGCAGGATCTATATCCCAGGGTGGTTTCAAACTCCCTATGCAACCAAGGATGACCTTGAATTTATGCCTCCTGCTTCCATCTTCCAAACATGGGGATTACAGGCTTGTGTCACCATGTCTATTTTATGCAATGCTGCCAATCAAATCCAGGCTTTTGTGCTTGCTAAGCAAACACTCTAACACTGGGCCACATCCCCAGTGCAAGGGATGGAATCTAGGACCTTGTACATTATAGTCAGGCACTCTACCACTGAGCTGTATCTCTAATCTGCAAAACACTGATTGTGGGCAACAGAAAAGGGTTGCATCTGGTCTCCTGAGTGATCTTAGTGTCATGCTCCCCATCCTCCCCAGGGCATCCAAATCCCATACTGAAGCCATCACTGATTTTCTTGGCCCTCGTGCCATATCTTTAGAGGAGGCGGTAAGGAGTCACCCCAGGGACATAGGGAAGACTGAAGCAAGACACAGAGACAAGGTCAGGGGTAAGAGATGGGATAGGGAAGTCAGAATTCAAAGGGAGCACCAAAATCCTTAATGATGCTGCCTGTGACAACCAAGTACTTCCTGAGCATCTCGAGGGGAGGCAGTACACTGGTGGCTTACCACAGAGTACACTCCCAAAAGCATGGAAGAAAAGAGACAGATGAGGCGATGTGAGGTGCTAAAACAGTATGGGCATCACCCAGGTGAAGGAAAAAGATGACACCAGCCAGTGTCTGTCCAGCCAAAGAAACAGCATTTTTTTATTTTCATGACAATGTTGTCAGTTACCGAGTCATGTGCGAGGCAGTGCCTACGTGAAAGGACCATGCCTTCCTGACTCATCGATGGAAGCCAGATGTGGGAACCACACCTATAATCCCAACAGTATAGAGGCTAAAGCAGGAAAACTTCACATTTGAAGCCAGCCTGGGCTACGTAGGGAGGGCCTGTTTCCAAAACAAACAAACAAGGGAGTCTATATCATGTGATAGTTCAGTCAGTCAAGTACTTGCCTTATAACCTGAATTCTATCCCCAGAACCCACATGTAGTGATTTCCATGAGAAATGCTTCTCCTAGGCTCAGATACTGAACATTTGATCCCCAGCTAGTGATGCTGTTTGGAGATATGGTATAACCTTCCTAGAGGAAGTACATCACTGGGAGGCAGACTTTGGGAGTTTCTAGCCTCACTTCACCTCCAGTCCACTCTGTCTGCCTCATGTTTGCATCTGAATATATGATCTCTTAGCTTTCCTGTTCCAGTTGCCTCACACCATGTCTTCCCTGCCATGATGGACTCGAGCCAAAATAAACTCTCTCTTCCATGCATTGCTTTTGACCATGGTGCTTTACCGCACTAACAGAAAAGTAACTAAGACACTAGGTAGGTAGGTAGGTAGGTAGGTAGGTAGGTAGGTAGGTAGGTAGATAGATAGATAGATAATAGATAGATAGATAGATGATATTGTGAATGTAATTGACCCCTAAAATTTCATAAGGAGTGGCACTATTAGGAGGTGTGGCTTTGTTGAAGTGGCTATGGCCTTGTTGGAGGAAGTGCGTTACTATGAGAGCAGGTTTTGAGGTTTCCTATGCTCAGGATACTGCCAAGTGTGTCAGACAACTTCCTGTTGCCTGCTAACCAAGACGCAGACAGCATCATGTCTGCCTGCATGCTGTCATGCTCTCTGCTATGATGATAATGGACAGAACTTCTGAAACTGTCAGTGAGCCACCCCAATTAAATTGTTTTTTTTGGTAAGAATTTCCATAGTCATGGAGTCTCTTCACAGCAACAGAAAACACTAAAATTGTAATCTGAGCGCTGAAGAGTAAACTCCAGCCACCCTAGCCCACTTAGCAAGTTCCAGGCCAATGAGAGACCCTGTCTTAAAAAACCTAAGTGGATACTGCCTAAGGAAAGAAGCCAAAGTCCTTTGTTCTCTATATTCATGTGTATACACACACACACACACACACACACACACACACACACACACACTTCTAAAAAGGTATTCAGTGGGATAGAGAAACCCAGGTCTGTAAAGAGGAAGAAATACATTCTCCATTCTTAGGAACTATTTGGTTACAAACATATGTGCCTCACTTTCATCAAAAACAAAGATTATCTTCTGGTAATGTAGAGAGTATCATCGAAAAAGTAAACTGAAAATTCTTTTTTTTTTTAAAGGTAACACATGAGCTTACCCTACTTTTTTTTTAAAGATTATATTTATTATGTATACAACATCTGCTTCCATGTATATCTGCACACCAGAAGAGGGCACCAGATCTCATAATGGATGGTTGTAAGCCACCATGTGGTTGCTGGGAATTGAACTCAGGACCTCCGGAAGAGCAGTCGGTGCTCTTAACCTCTGAGCCATCTCTCCAGCCCCCATTTTTTTTTAAGATAGGTTTATTTATTTATTGTGTATACAGTGTTCTGTCTGCATGTATCCCTGCAGTCCAGAAGCGGGCATCAGACTACATTACAGATGGTTGGGAGCCACCATGTGGTTGCTGGGAAATGAACTCGGGACCTCTGGAAGAACGGGCAGTGCTCTTAACCCCTGAGCCATCTCTCCAGCCCAACTATGAAAATTCTTAAATGGTCTCTGAGATCTAAAAAACTATACTCCAGGAGAGAACATTGATGGACAGGCTGTCTGGGCTGGGTGGGGTCATGGGTGCTCACCTGAGAGGCGTTCTGTGACATCCAACACTGCAGGACCACTCAGGAAACGCACACGCCCAGCGAAGGCTTGCAGGAGGCAAAGGTGGTCTGAAAGAGATGGAGATGCCAGTGACCAAGACATTGCCAACCATGCCAACACACCAGGCACTCACTGTGCTAGGTGTTCACATATCCTCATGAGGAAGGGGCCTATGGGAAGCTGAAGCAATTCTCCCAGATCAGTGGACTCGTGTGTGTGTGTGTGTGTGTGTGTGTGTGTGTGTGTGTGTGTGTGTGTGTGTCTGTCTGTCTGTCTGTCTGTCTGTCTGTCTGTCTGTGTGTCTGTGTGTGTCTGTGTGTCTGTGTGTGTATGTGTGTCTGTGTGTCTCTCTCTGTGTGTATATGTGTATGTGTGTTTATCTGTCTATCTGTGTCTGTGTGTGTCTCTGTGTACATGTGTGTGTCTGTGTCTGTGTGTGTCTGTGTGTGTCTCTGTGTACATGTGTGTGTCTGCATGTGTCTCTGTGTACATGTGTGTGTCTGTGTGTGTCTGTCTGTCTGTGTCTCTCTGTGTGTGTCTGTGTACATGTGTGTGTGTCTGTGTGTCTGTCTAACTGTCTGTGTGTGTATATCTATCTGTGTCTGTGTGGGTCTCTGTGTACATGTGTGTGTGTGTCTGTGTGTGTCTCTCTGTGTGTCTGTGTGTGTCTCTCTGTGTGTCTCTGTGTACATGTGTCTGTCTGTCTGTGTCTGTGTGTGTGTCTGTGTACATGTGTGTGTCTGCGTGTGTGTCTGTGTGTGTCTCTCTGTGTGTCTGTGTGTGTGTTTGTCTGTCTGTCTGTGCCTGTGTGTGTCTATCTCTGTGTCTGTGTGTCTGTGTGTATGTGTGTCTGTCTGTCTGTCTGTGTCTCTGTGTGTCTCTGTGTACATGTGTGTGTGTCTGTGTGTGTGTGTCTGTCTAACTGTCTGTGTGTCTGTGTCTGTGTGTCTGTGTCTGTGTGTGTCTCTGTGTACATGTGTGTGTGTCTGTCTGTCGTGTGTGTCTGTGTCTGTGTGTGTATGTATGTGTGTCTGTCTATCTGTGTCTGTGTGTGTCTCTGTGTACGTGTGTGTGTGTGTGTGTGTGTGTGTGTGTGTGTGTGTGTAACTGTGTGTGTCTATCTGTGTCTGTGTGTGTCTCTGTGTACATGGGTCTGTCTGTGTGTGTATGTGCATGCAAGCTTGGAGACTGGAGGCTAACCTCAGATGCTGGCCCTCACTTTCCACATTATTTGAAGCAGAGTCTCCCACCCTCCACTGCTGTACATCAGGTTAGCAAACTCACAAGCTTCCTAGACTTAGGAAAATAGACTTGAGCATCCATCTTGATCTGGGATAGGATCACACTTACATGGCACGTATTTACCCACTGAGCTATCATCCCAGCCTAGATAAGACCAGTTTTTGAAAAAGCAAAAGCAAATGAACAGGATGTTGGGGGGAAGAGTGGACAGTCAGAGCAGCTAGATTGACTCCCAGTCTGCCATTTTCTCCCATATGTCTGATTTGTATTGTCTGATTTTCCAAACTGCCCTAAAGTGAGGCTTGGGGTAAAAGAAGGTAGATGAATGACTGGGAGACAAAAGACAGACACAGAAAATGATGCTAGCAATAGATGAAGAAGGATGGACACATGGATATTTGAATATATCTACAGCTTCAGGGTGAAACAAGTGCTGGTCATACAAAGGTCATTAAAGAGCCGGGGACAGCACTCAAAAGTCAAGCCTTTTATTAAAGCCTAAACGCACTCTGGTCATGAGGATACTCCATGCCAGGTCGTCACTTATTTCCACAGTGAGCACTTTCTGGTGTCCTTTTTGTAATGGACAAGGTGCCCAGAACAAGTAAAAAGGAGTACCTCTTCCCTCCAGAAAGTTTCTTTGATTTGAACATGAACTTCACCAGGGTGGGAAACTATGCTCATGTAGCAAGAGCCTGAGTAAGGGTTGATCAACACCCTTGGTCTGTCCATGCAAGGTGCAAGAGCAGAACACTCTCCTGCTATCTCCCCACTGCTCCTGCCACGAACTTGGAGGCATTGGCATGCCCAGTTCCCAGCATGCTCAGCTCCCAGCATTTTGCAACAACAACAGCCATGGAATACCTTAATGGAAAGTAGGGCAAGTAGTGAAATGCTCTTTCCAGGGCGATAGCTATGGGGCTTGCCCACACCTGTCAGGAGGGCAGGGCAGGCATAGCCACCCAACCAGTGTGTTTTCATGTCTTAATTGGTTTTCCGCTTCCATAATTTTAAAAAGCAGAATGAGCAATTTACAAATAATGACACTTTATTTGGCTCAGGGTTGGAGCCTGGAAAGTCCAAGAGCAGGTATTGGCCTCTGCTGAGGGCATGAGTGCTGCATTAGTTCATGGTGGAAGGCAGAAGTGCATACCTGTGTGTGAAAAATATAGAAAGGAACCCAAAGCCACCCTTTACATCAGGACCCCTCCCTGTGACCACTGAGCCATCCCTGCAGCAATGAGGGCAGAAGCCCTGACCTAAGCCACTCCCACAGGTCCTGCCACTCACCACCACAAAGGGATTTCAGTTTTAGTATGATTGGGAGGGGTCCGCAAAGCAAAACACCTAAGATCAGGAGCCTGGGTTGAGTAAGTGCTAGGTCCAATGTAGCAGAGTGAAAGCAAAGCGCTTGTCCTTTCTTAGTCCCCTCCCACAGTGCTCAGTCCAGCTCCTGGCCCTCAGCACAGTCCTCCAGAGCCACAAAGAAGTGTGCCTGGGGAGTCCTTGAAAGTGAACCACCAGCCGATCAACCAGGCAATGCTCTCATGGCATTGCCAGTATACAGCAGGTGCTCCATAAATGCTTGACAATAATACAGATGCTTGACAAATGCTTGACAAGAATACAGATGCTTGACAAATGCTGGCTGGGTCCAAGTGCCTGGGAAATGCTTGCAGAGTACAGCTACCTGGTAAATGTTTGTAGGGTCATATCACAACAGGGCACCAGTTTTCCAGGCTGGTTAGTGAGTGTCAGAGCACTCTCCTCAGGCATTTGGCCTTGTCTTGTTCTGGTCACCTCTATAAGGCTCACCCTCTTGAGTCACACTCAGGTTTAATAAGACAAAGAAGTATGATAAAGGGGTACAGATTCTAGGTGCAAGTTGCCTGAGTTTAAATCCCATCTCCTTCATATTTTACTATGTAACACTGTATGAGCCACTCACTGCTTCCATGCCTCAGCTTACCCATCTATATAATTGGGGATAGTCCTAGTTCCTTTCTGAGTTGCTGTGAGGTTTAGATGAGTTGATACAATATTTAGGATTGGACCCATATCATATAATGAATAATATATTTGACGTTCTAATGAATTTCATTATTGCCCTAAAATTCTTACAATGGAAAAATAAGAGGCTAGAATCTTGAGCTGGCTTGAGGTAACTCAGCAATAGAACACTTGTCTAGCATATGCAAGAGCTCTGAGTTCAGTTCCAAGCATCATTTAAAAATAAAAAAGATGATGGTGGTGATGGTGATGATGATGGTGGTGGTGATGCTGGTGATGATGATGATGCTGGTGATGGGACCTAACATTTGAAAGGCTAGTCATTCTATCCTGAGGCTCTCCTCTCTACAAAGGGACAAGGAGATCCCCATGCATTATCATAGTTGTTCCACTTAGTGGCCCTAAGGTCACCAGGCCGTGTTATCCTCAGTCTACTTGAAAGCCACAAAACTGTGTGTATTGTTAAAAAATAAAAAGAACTGTTATTAACATTTGACATCCTTCACTCTCACTGTCTTTTGTTGTTGTCGTCTGACTGTGTAGCTCCCACTGTCTCTGGCCCACTCTTTGTGCATATTTGTGATTATAATTGTGATATTATACATTTGAACTTGCATCCTGTTTAACTGAATCAGAACATGAACATTTGCATATGATGTCACACATGAGCTATGGGCTGCCCTGAAGTACATACAACTCCTCCTATTTTTTCCTTGATGACCACACCCAGTTTGGGCCACATGGAGGACTGTGATGTATCTTACATTACTGAACTGTGATGAGTGTCCCCAGATGATCATCAAGACACTGTGCATAGTGCCATGTTTTTCATACTTTCCTTTAAAAACTCTTCTATAGGCTAGGGAGATGGCTCAGTTGATAAAGTTCTTGCCACACAAGCTTGTAGACCTGAGTTCTATGCCCAGAACACACACACACACACACACACACACACACACACACACACACACACACACACACACACACACACACACACACACACAAGCCTGGGATGGCTGTGTGTGCTTAAAATCCCAGCAGTAAGGAGGTGGAAACAGGTGAGCCCTTGGGGGCTTGCTATGAAGCTATTCCAGGTCACAGTGAGAGATCCTATCTCAAAAAACAAGGTAGACAGCTCCCAAAGAACAACATGTGAGGGCTGTCCCTGTCACCCACATAGACACAAATACACACACACACACACACACACACACACAGAGAGAGAGAGAGAGAGAGAGAGAGAGAGAGAATATAAATGGGTTATATTCCTTTCAAATGCTTTAGATTTTTCCATTTCCCAATAACTACCAAGCATGATTTTTTTTGAGACAGGGTTTCTCTGTGTAGCCCTGGTTGTCCCAGAACTTTGTGTAAAACAGGCTGACCCTCTGCCTCCCAAGTGCTGAGATTAAAGGCATGGGCTACCACTGCCTGGCCCAACAAGCATGATTTTTATAGAAAAGAATGAGTTTTTTTATGTCTAAGTATATAAAGTATATAGAAGTAAAGTATTTAGAAGTATATAAAGTAGCATTGAAAACTGCTTACTGTTCACTTGTTTTCTCAGCTCAAATTGGCCCCGACTCATGTTAATCCTCCAACCTCAGCCTCCCAAAATGCTGGCATTACAGGCATGTACCATCAATGTCTGTCCTAAATAAAACTAAATGGAAGAGCCCACATCAAAATTGGATACACTTGTTTTTCCCTGGGTAAACTTGGACACACATGGACCTTTTTTGGAGAGGCACCTTGATGCACAGTCTAAGCCCATTGACAATATAACCTCAGTCATATGATTTACAGACAAATTTAAAGTCAGAGAGAAAACAGCAAAACTAGATACAAGGCCACCCCCACTCCAAGCCTATCTGGCCTCTCCAGCACTAGCTAGAGGCTGAGCTAAATTAAGAGCTCCTCTTGGCTGTGAGAAACTGGAATGCCAAGGTCATCCGGGGAAGGCTGAGCTGTCTGCAGCCTGGGGTTTTCATCAGGCAAATATCTTGTCCAACAAACCCAACAGTAGTAACAGAGCCCAACAGGGCCAACCAGTCTGCTCCGGCACTTCCTTAAATCTCAGAAAAATTCCCCTGAAATCAGGTCTCAGTGTCTAGTGGGAAAAACAACACTGAACTTCAAGCTCAGAGAAGCCCCAAAACAGGAGATGAGTGATGAATGACAGAGGCCAGGGAGCAAGCTGCCCGGTCTCCTTCCTGTCCACCCAAGGGGACAGCTGCAGAAGCCAGCACCTGTTATGTCAACCAACACAGCATCCAATCCACCAAACCGAAGGAAAACCAGGGAAGAAGACATGATTGGGGCTGATGAGACCATGCTATCAATGAATTTCACAATCAAGTAGCATCTTCCATGTCATCCTAGGAAAGCCAGCCTCCCCATTTGTGCCATCTGGACTTCATGCCTGAGGACAGCAGCCTCACTTGGCATTGTTCTTGATCCTCCTGCCCTGCATTTAGCAGGAAACAGACTGGCGCCTGCTGTGCTGTTGCTCTGGCCTCCCACATTTAAGCACTACCCAGCATTTGACAGCCCATCTCCAGCCTGGAGCCCAGAATTCCCTCCCGGGGGTGGGGGAAGCAGGAAGAAGCAGGCTGTGGAGAAAGCACCTCTCTAAGAGAAATCCAAAGGACCACTGGAATTACCAGGCTTAGTTGGGTAGTTTTGGAAGATTACTTTCACTTTCTGCAGCTACCACCCAAAGCTCTGGGAAGTGGGAAGTTTACTTGTGTCTCTTCTGAGCTACATTCAGCTCCATCTAGACAGATGAAAGCCCTTCCTGGGGACAACGTGATTCTGCCCTTGGTACTCACTGAGGGTGACAAAATTCTCCATGTCACTAACCTAAATCCTTAAGCTTGCCACTTCATAGTCAAAAACTCCTTCAGAATCAGTGTTCCTGGTGGGACTGAGAAGGTAATGTAGCACAGCAAACCCAACTGGCCCAGGCAACTCATCCCACGCCTGCTCAAACACACCACACCCAGAGCCAAGATAGCACGCTTTATCATGTAGGCTCCACTGGAGCTTTTGCCAGGGATGTATTGGGTTCCCTTGGACCTTTAAGCCAACACCATTCCATCTCAAACCTCAGCACTGATCTAAGGAGTTAGAAATCCCCCCGCCGCCCCCTAACACACACACATACTGGCATTCTCCCTGCACCAAGAACTGTGTCAAAGAGGACTTTGTCCCAACAGAGAGAACCACATGGCTGAAACCCTGCTTGCAGTATACTGGTCCCCAAAGGTTTCTGTGTTAGGAGCTTGGTCCCCAGCGTGGAAATGTTGAAAAGTGATGGGACTTTCAGGAAGTAGACGTTAGCAGAAAGTAATGAGGTCATTAGGAGCATTGCCCTTGGAGGGATTAATAAGACCTTGAGAAGCGATTCAGTTCCCACATATGTTCTTTTAAAAACAAATAAATAAAACTTTCCCCCCTCTCGAGCCAGGCATTAATGACGCACACCTTTAATCCAGCACTCGGGAGGCAGAGACAGGCAGATCTCTGTGAGTTCGAGGCCAGCCTGTTCTCCAGAGCGAGTGCCAGGATAGGCTCCAAAGCTACACAGAGAAACCCTGTCTTAAAAAAAAAAAAAAAACAAAAACAAAAAAAAAAAAAAAAAAAAACTTTTGTGTGTGTGTGTGGGCGTGTGTGTGTGTGTGTGTGTGTCAGAGGCAATCTCAGGTTTCAGTCCTTACCTTACACTTTGAGACATTTGTTTAATTCCTGCATTCACCAGGCTAACCAAGCTTCCCATGACTCTCCCATCTCTACCTCCCATTTCTTCACAGGGCACTGGGATTACAGAGGTACTTATGCATCCATGTCCCTGTTGAAGCAGGTTCTGGGATCTGAAATTGTAGACTCATGAAGAAAACTATTTACTGAGCACAGCCACCTTCTTTCCTGGTGTCTGTCTTCCTGTCTCACCATGTAATCTCTTCCACAGGCACTCCCACCATTGTGACGCCATCCACCATTGTGACACCATCTACCATTGTGATGTAATCCACCATTGTGACACCATCCACCATTGTGACACCATCCACCATTGCCATATCATCCACCATTGGGATGCCATTCACTGTGAGGTTTTCATCAAAGCTGATCAGAAACCAGTACCATGATCTTAGACTTCCAGAACTATGAATTAAATTTCTTTCTTTATTTAAACTTCTCAGCTTTGGAGATTTTTGTTGTAGCAGCACAGAGCAGACTAATATACAGGCCAATCCCAGTCCTACTGCTTTCCAGGGTACTTATCCTAGGTGGGTACAGCAGATCCTCCAGTAGAGGGTATCCAAGTCATAACTATGGCAGACACTAAATTCTGTTGTCCAAAGTGCCAGGCTCTTCTATGCTAGGAAAGGTTGGCCCAGTGGCAAAGAGCAGACTGAAGCCCTTGGTGGAGGAAGAGTTAAAAGAGTCACTCCCCAGACATGAGTGTTCATTCTCCTCCAATATGTAAAGCCCATTCCACTTTGTGTAGGTTTTCCCAATAAATCCAGGGCCTTGGGTGATTTACCAAGAGCCTTGATTATTGGCAACAGCAATCTCACTCACCCAGAGCAGCTCAGGGAACAAGCTGTAATTTAGGGCTCGATTTGTATTGTTTGTTCCACAGCAACAAACTCAGCAAATCATAAATTTCCTCCAAGATGAAATGTGGAAATTGACAATATTTATGAACTCAGGAGACAGAGAAGGGCTTGACCAAGCCTTTGATTTGTAACTGAAACTCTTCCTGGTAGTTCTAGCCAAGGACACAGCTTGCTGTCCCAGGCCCAGGAACTGGGTTCTGGCTAAGGCATGGGGTAGAGGTGAGGTGAATATGCCAGGGACATCTCACCCAAGATGTTCTGTGAATGCCAGAGGTCAGGTGCCAACTTGTACCCATCAGATATACAGTAAAGGCAGTCTTTTTTTTTTTTTTTTTTTTTTTTTTTTTTTTTCAAGAAGGGGTTTTTTTGTGGTGCTTTGGGGCTCTGAAGACCAGGCTGGCCTCGAACTCACAGAGATCCACCTGTCTCTGCCTCCCAAGTGTTGGGATTAAAGGCGTGCACCACCAACGCCCGGCCCTAAAGGCAGTCTTCAGACACAAGTTCCTTCACATTAGCCCAGACATAAGCCTACTCATGTACCTCTTTCTCAGCATACCTTAAGTTTTAAACTCACCCTTCCCTCTACAGATATACTAGATATTGCCTTCTAGCCAGGAAAGGAAAAGGAGATGTACCAAAAAGTTTACCTGCCATTGGGGAACTGAGTTGTGAGGCTTTAGAGTGCATAGGATCTGACTTGCTCTTGCCTCTTGTGATGTCTGCCCACAGTGTCCTCCTTTCTTTCTCCATTCTTTTTTCCTGTCTTACAGTCCATCACCAACCCCTGACAGTTGGGTCTTGCCAAGCACCCCTCACTCACCCCTGTGGTGTCCTGTGTGGCCCTGAGAAGTCATTTCCTCATGTGACTGACTATAGGAAGGCTAGACCAAGTCCCCTCTCATCATCTCCATTCTTGACCATGCGGTGCCTAGTAGAGTGTGGTGGTTTGAATAAGAATGGCTTCATAGGCTCAGATATTTCAATGCTTGATCATTAGGGAATGATGCTACTTGAGAGAGATTAGGAGGTGTGGCCTTTCGGAGTAGGTGGGGCCTTATTGGAGAAAGTGTGTGATGGGGGTGGGCTTTGGAGTTTTCAAAAGTTCAAACCAGTCCTAGTGTCTCTCTTCCTGCTGTTGGAGGGACCAGATGGAGAACTGTCAACTAACTCTCCAGCACCATGTCTGCCTGTGTGTCACCATGTTTCCCACCAAGGTGACAATGGACTAAACCTCTGAAACTGTAAGCCAGCCCCAACTAAATGCTTTGTTTTCTAAGAGTTGCTATGGTCATGGTGTCTCTTCACAGCAATAAAACAGTGACTAAGAAAGACATAGACAGAAAATGGGAACGCCTCCAGACAGGAACTTGGGGACCCTACATTGTCAACACATGCTCCACACAGCCTCAAACAAACTAGCCAGAGTTGTTTGCAACTCAACTGGTTCCCACGCAAGAAGATGGGTGTGGTGGCCCAGGTGCCAGTGCCTCCCACAGCCCCACAGGGGACAACAATGGGATGCTCACCCAAGCTGTCCATCATGGCATCTAGCACAGCGGAGGCAGCAGTGGAGATCCCAGAGTTCTTAGAGTTTAGATTATCTGCAACTGCAATGATGATAGAGAGCAGCATGGGATGGATGCTCTCTTTCAGGATGGGAAGCATCTGCGCGAGGGACTCCAGTGCCCACTGGCTCACTTTCTTGTTGGAATCCTGAAGCCTTGGGGTAAAAGCATCAAAGACCTATTGAAGGAAAAAAAATCAAGAGTTCATGGGAATGCAGGCTTGGCAGGAGTTGGCTGGGACAACTTCTGCATCCCGGAAAGTGGTACCCAGACTTATACTAACACATTCCCAATGAAGAAGAGCTCTTCTCAAAAGGGAACAGGTAAAAAAGGAGAGACAGACATGTACTGAGCATTCTTCACGTGTCAATCATCCAGAATATTGGGGTGGGTGCTCTTCACCCTCCCACACTGATGACCTTAGCAAGCTGTGTTGCTGCTATAACTCCACTTTCCCACTAACAGTGAAGGCTCGTGGAGGCTAATGAGTCTCTTCAGATCACACAGCTAGGAGGGAGCCTGACTCAGCCTGGGTCTCCACCTGCCTGTTAGCATCACTCCAAGTGTGCTCCATCTGTCCATCACTTATGACCCAGACACTGCCCAACCACAGGCTCTGATATCAAATATTATGCAAATAGCTAACTGAATGTGACCCTGGATCTTGACCACAGTGCCCTCTTTGGCAGAGGGATGGAAGCCAAGCAGGAAATCTCTGGGCATTCTAAAGATATGCTCAACTCCACAGCCACATCCAACTAGTCATTTCACGCTACAAAGACCACATGAAAATTGAGTGCTTAGCAGGCTCCCCATGCATCCCCTCCAAATCAGTTCAGACTTCTCCAGATTGAACCCATGGGGAGAAATCAGGGAGGGAGAACAGGGGTGGGTGCTCACCTGGATGAGGTTGGTAATGATGAGCTCTGGCTTGGCCTTGCAGTTTTCAAGGAGCTTCCCAACACCTTCCATCCGAGCCAGGAACTCCTTGGCCTCCAGCAGCCTGGTCAGCTCCCGTAGCTGCTCTGACATCTCCACACCACCCCTCAGGGAGGAGCGTAGCCCCATCAGCCGTGGGCCATTGGAGCCAAGCCTAGGAAGAAGCAGTCACTAACCCCTGGGGAAGAGCCCAGGGGATGAACACAGCTCTCAGCCCAAGCCACATCGCACTTCCAGGTAAGGCAGAAATAATGGTGTTTCCTACAGCTTTGTCCAAACCCCACCCCTCCTCTAAATGCTGCTTGGGGTTATTGCACTCTGGGCATCTCTTCTCCTCAAAGGGCAACAAGCAAGACTCTCTCTTCCTGGTTTTTACCCTTTCCTTTCTGAGGACATGTAAAGAATTGGGGGTGAAGGGAAGATAAGTGAGAGTGTACTGTGGAAAGATGACTGGTGGAAGTGTTGGGGGAGAAGAAGTCCTGAGTCTCATGTATGAGAGATGGAACCCTGAGTCTCATGCATGAGAGATGGAACCCTGAGTCTCATGCATGAGAGATGGAACCCTGAGTCTCATGCATGAGAGATGGAACCCTGAGTCTCATGCATGAGAGATGGAACCCTGAGTCTCATGCATGAGAGATGGAACCCTGAGTCTCATGCATGCAAGCACAGTGTGGCCACCAGCCCAGCTACAGTGTATTTAACCTAAGAATAAGGGAAGATTAAATATTCTGGAGGCCGTCACATTCTACATCTGCTTGGTTCCCATGTCATACCCCTTGTTAGCTAGGTTCTCACACTCCTGCAGGAACCCAGAGTATTTGGGATTGCATGTCCATCAGAGCCTAGACTGTTCAGCCAACATGAGAGAGGCACCACATAGGATTCCTGCCTCCCACACTTAGTTCGAAGCCAGGATCTCTGAGCTCCTGCCCAAACCCAGGTCCCACCCAACATGTTCCAATATTATCCATTCTACCATTTGTTCCTGCATCTCACATTCTTGCCTACTGAAAACTAAGAGCTGTGTTTGGGCCTTGAGAACAAAGAGATGAGATACACAGTCTGTTCCTTAAGCATCTCACAAAAAGATGGGAGACAGAGGTATGAAGAACAGGGACAGATGTCTACTCTGGGGATATAGGGACACAGTGTCAGAGAATGTCTGGGAGAAGGTAACAGGCAAGTTGCATCTTGTAGAATCAACAAGCAAGTTTTAGGTGCTCAGGACAAGCAAAGACAGAATGTAGCAGAGAAAGAAAGCATGAGGATGGGAAGGCTGGGGACCAGTCCAGTCTAGGGAGAGAGAGTAGGAGAGTGCAGGACATCACTGAAGAGCTGAGCAGGACCTTCCCTGCATCCCACTATGGTCCTGGCAGAAGGTTCTCATTTCAAGCAGAAGATTCCTGCTTCATTTTTAACTGTTCCCAGTAAACACCCTCCAGCCCTCAAGCCAGGTCTCCTTGTCTGCCTGTGTCCAGCTTTGCCCAGGAACTAGTCCTAGGATGACCAATCTAGTGGCTAAAAGACATGTTGATCTAAGTGAACAAAGAGATGCTTACACAGACAGCCTGGCCAATGCAGAAGTGCATTCCCTTGGCCAAGGCTATCCAACTTAACATCTTTGGCAGATGCCACCAAGTCAGAATTGGGTCTGCCTAAGATGCACCCGATAAATCCATCATTAAAGATGCTCCATAAGACATGTCCCAGTCCACACTCAACCCCATGGGCAAGCAAGACACCATTGGCAGCTTTGGTCATGGGGCCTTGGAGACACAAGAACAGCCATACCTCTCTTGACTGGGCAATCCATTTTCACACACCACCAAACTCTTCAACACCTTTCGGCCTTTGGCAGATGGAAGTTCGTGATTGTCTTGTATTCCCTTGAGAAACAGACACAGAATTTAAGCCAAAGGGAGTGGTTTGACATCCCAGTATAAAGCATAACAAGATGGATAATCTTTCCACTTGGAAGCACCCCCAAGTCACTGTCTGGAGCCATGGAAGTAGCTGGGCAGAAACCGAGATCTCCACTCAAGACAAGAAAGAATGGAGGCCCAGGGAACTTGAGACACATAGGGCAGACCCGAACACAAACAATGGGAAGAGAAAGTACAACCCTAACCCTGAGTATTGATGAAATGGAAGCTCTGGAACCCCACTCATTCCCCTGACCTACATGAGGGCTGTCGGTCACTTGAGTTCCACTAGCTCACCCGTTGTCTGATGGCCGCCATGACTTTCCGAAGGTCATGAGATGGGAGGGATTGCTTCAGAAATGCATCAAACTTTGAATTTGTCATCAAGATACTCACCATCTTCCGGCCATAAAACCTGCCACCGGGGAAAAAAACGAATGAAGAAACCGCCATGGAGAGACCCAATAAATCCACCCTACAGCTTTATACAACTTTCTCAATTATAACAGGAGAGGTTTGCATACTTCTAATTAGGAAAGCAATCCCTACCCAGTTAAAAATTAGATTCATAAAAAAATAAACATCATCCATAATGCCATTACCAAGAGGAAATCACTATTAAATTTTTATATATTTTCTTAGTCTTTTTTCTATGCATTTACATTTTAATAGATAGCAGAATACATGGGCAACTCATTTACAAGCCTTTTTGCTTTCTCATTAATCATCTTCCCAGGCTATGTAATATTCTTCACATGTACCTTTTTTTTCAAGATTTTTGAAAATGTACATATATATGTATGTGTCTAGGTGTACTCGTGTATAGGTACCCACAGAGTCCAAAAGAGGATGTCAGAGCTCCTGGAATTATGTATGATTTTAAGCTGTACAATGTAGGTACAGGGAATCATATCCGGGTTCTATGTAAGATCTCTTAAATGTACCTGTCCATAATCTACCCCTGTCCACAACCTACCCCAAAGCTACAAGCAAGACAATATTGGCAGCTCCGGCCATGGTTATAAGAGCAGCCACACCCTTCCTCACTGGGAAAGTGCTCTTAACCACTAAACCATCTCTCCAGCCCCATAAGTATTTTTAATATCTATCCATTATAGCTATTTATTCAATATATCCAGCATTCATATAGCTATATATCCAATAGCAGAATATTTAATATCCTGCTGTGTGGCTATCAGAAGTGTTGGTAAGTTTTTTCTCCCCTGGTTTTAGAAGCTTAAAAATCTGGGGAAGGGTTTAGGAGGGAGCAGTCAGCTCTACCTGGTAAAGAGTACTGGCTGGGTAAGAGAATCAAAAAGAGTTTGGGTTTGGGACTCAATGGATGAGTGAGTGTTCACTAATAGGATAGGACTAGGAAGAAAGTGAGGGCATTCTAGAGTCTACAACATGGTCTGTTACAACATCCAGATATGGTTGGAGAATGTGAGACTGAAAGGAGCCAGAGAAGGGGATAAGCTGTGTTTAGGGCAATGTGAAGGGACTGGACTTTGGCCTACAGGCAATGGGAAACTGAGGAATGATCAACTAGTCATGTTAGTCAAAATACCTCCAGGCAATAAAGATGCCTCATTGCCTATAACTCCAGTTTCAGAGGATTTAACATTCTTCTTGACCTCCAAGGTCACCCCATCACTCACACACACTCATACACACACACACACACACACACACACACACACAGTGAAATTTTTAACTTTGGCAGGAAGTGAGTAGCAAAGGGACAAGATTAAGAGCTTGGAGATCTGTTAGGAGGCCACCACCATCATGGACCAGGCAAGAGATGAAGCCCTGAAATGAGCAACAAAATGAAAATAAGATAAGGGCAGTCAGGTTCAAGAGCTGATAAAGGGGTTGAAATTGCAGGGTTACAAAGCTGGCTGGAGATGGAGTAGAAAGCATCTAGAATGATCATATTCGACCCAACCTGAGACCCTGCTGTTTATAAAATGCATCACTACTTTATTTTCCACTAAGGCAAATGGGGACAAGAAAATGCTAACAGGTTCCACTGTGTTCATTGCTACTGCCCCATGTGTGAAGGCTACCTAGAGGAATAAACGTCACATTATTGTGATCTTTTCCTTCCTCTGGGTGACATTCCTGCTTTGCAAAACAATGTGGGATCATTCCTTCAACATGAAGTTGTAAGACCCCCCGCCCCAGAAGCTCAGGCCTCCAGTATCTTTTCCCAGGACCTCGGCCACCCCAATCACCATGAGGAGGCAGAAACTTGATGCAAACAGCAAGAGGCTTTAATGAAAGGTGGATGTTTGTACAAACGGGCTCTCTCAGCATGCAGGCTAGAGAGCAGCCTCATCCCCCAGGCACAGGTGTTTTTAAAGGAAAAAACCACAAGCTTACGGAGGGGCCTCAACTCTCTGTTCGTTGAGTACATGACCAGAGTCATGGGTTCCTAGGAGGCCCTTTGTCTTGAGGAGAGGGCTGGGAAGCAGATGGCCTCCTGACCCACCAGTTGAAAACCCTGCCGACCCCAGGATATGCTTATCTTGCCTGAGCAAATGGTAGCTATCTCTTTGTTTCATAGGGACCCTTAATTGTTAATTATTGACACATTGGCCAGTGGGGCAATCTATTTCCTCCATGAGCCCCTTGGGGAGGGGAGCCATCTGGGAATTCTTGGTACCCAGTTATCTTATGGCCTTGTAAGCTGGTAAATTCCAGGCACTAAGTCATAGTAGTGGCCTTAGTTTCTGGGTTAGGCTGCCCTACATTCAGTTTGGAGAGTTTCCTTATCTGGGTTATATTTCTTTGCTAATTCTTAAGTCTTTCAAAGTCTTGCTTAACTGATGTCTCTTTGCTGCCCTGTTGCTCTATGTAACTTTTCACTACTGTAACTTTGGTTTCAGTGCCAAGTGACAGTATGACCCTTCTAAGGGAAATGGGAATTAACTCAACACTCTCTGAACAGCACCCGAAGGGACTTCTGGAAATAAATCCCACAGTCAACAAGCAAGGAAAGGTTCCTCGCATCATCCCAACAGTACAAACTTCAATTCCAAAGTTCATGTGATGAGGATCAACTACCACCAAGTTTGCAAATGTGCAGATAGAAAACAACACCCAGGCCATAATCACTGGCTGGACAACAGCAACTTTGAGAGGCCTCTGACTAGAACATTTGTGTGTGGCAATGTCAAAGATGCTATGATGTGGAGGACAATGTGTCGGGGAAGGTTCAGTAAAGAGTGAGAATCCCCACTCTGCATCTTTGGTGACTTGCTGAGTCATGGTGACTCTGGTTTCTGGAGTCACTGGACTTCCTGCTTCTCCTCTTAGGGCCAGTTCTCCACTCTGCTTGGCATCTGGAGGTGGCCTTGGAATTATCTTAGTCCTCTGTCTTAGTTTCATTTCCCATTCCTATGATAAAATACTTGACACAACCAACTCAAAGGAGAAAGGGGTTTGGGTTTTGTTTGTTTGTTTGTTTTTTGGCTTGAAATTCCAGGTGACAGTCCAGGGGGAATACAACCCAAGAAGTGGGCTTAGGGAAAAGCAAAGATGTCTTTTAAGGACCCTTTACACTGAAGACAGGAATAGGCCATCCAGGGATGCGTTCCCTGGTGGTATTAGAAGAATCAGGTGTGGATAGTAGGAGAGCCAGAAAGAGGAGAAGGGAAGATGTGATAGTTAGCTTTTTACTAGCAACTTGACATAGAGTCACCATGAAAGGGAGTCTCAATGAGGAATGGTCCAGATGAGGTTGGCCTGTGGGCACACCTGTTGAGTTCACTGAAACGGGAAGACATATCTGCGATGTGGCCCATTTTATAGTCCCTGGACTGACTAAAAGGAGAGAGCTGGCTGAGCACATGCACGCATGCATGCATTCACGGCTTTGTGCTCTTGACTATGCGTATAACATTCCCTGGGCCTTGGCTGCCCTAGTGATGGACTGTCACCTGGAATTTCAAGACAAAAAACAAACAAACAAACAAACAAACAAACCAAACCCCTTTCTCCTTTGAGTTGGTTGTGTCAAGTATTTTATCATAGGAATGGGAAATGAAACTAAGACAGAGGACTAAGATCATTCCAAGACCACCTCCAGATGCCAGGCAGAATGGAGAACTGACCCTAAGAAGAGAAGCAGGAAGTCCAGTGACTCCAGAAACCAGAGTACCATAAAGGAAAAAGAAATGTGGTCAGTGCCATCCAGTGAGGCATTAGATCTAGGGAGGTAATAAGTCTTGATTTCTATCCCTCTCAACAACTACAGACAACCCCAAGCCTTCTACTGCAATATTCATCATTTAAATGAATGGCATCCCCATTGACCCCGATGTTCATTTTAAAGCCTAAGAGTCACCTTTGATGTATCTTTGAAACCCATCCTGCCCATATCCTGATGGCTCTGCCTTCAAAACAGACCTGATGCCCAATCCACCTCCCGGGCCCAGCCTCCAGTATCTCCTGCCAGGATTATGGACTAGCCATCTGTCTACTGTCATATAAAAAACAAAGCCATCAGGAAGAAAGACACTCTGAAACAATGGTGAGGCATTACTTTCTCCCATCAGACCCATTAAAAGGGAAGGAGGAAAAGGAGGAAGAAGTGGATATTGCCAGTCATTGGCCAGACCAAGGGGAGGCAGCATCTCAGGCATAGGGGAGCCTCAGGGGAAGCACTCTGGGTTATCCAGCATGGCCACTGGAGAGTGGGTGGCATTGCTATGTTAGGTTAATTCCAGAAGATTCCTATTCAGCAAACAAAGAAGTGACATGCAACACCCTGTACAGTGGTGGCAACAGGAGAAGGGTGGGTACTTCAGCTTTCCATGGAACATGGAGGTGTGGACAGCTCGTGTGACCAACACACCACCTCAGCTCCACTAACTGGGGGGAAAGGGGCCTAATTCCCCTGATCCATGCTCCCCATTCTCTGAAATGAAGGCATTGACTGTCACCTTTACATCCAAACAGACACAGTGACAACATCCCAGAAAGTAAAAGGGCAGGATCAACTGCAATCAACAGGGCCCCAACTCTGGCTCTGGGAGACAATCAGCCCCTGACACACTTTAAACCCCTCTAGAACTCTCCCATAGAACAGCCTAAAACCCCAGCTTTAGACTGCGGCCTCCAAGATCCTTCATGATCCGGGCCTGTCTGCCATGTGCTGGTGTTTCCCTGTGTCTAGCCATTGTTTCCCTGTCCAAGCTGTTTCCATCCTGAAGTCCTTACGCTGTTTCCTTTGTCTAGACTCCATGCTCAGATCCTCAGAGAACAGACTCCATCAACTTATCCCTGCACAGTTCTCTCTGGCCGCAGCCTCAAGTCTCTCTCCCCAATTCTCCACTCCATTTTGTTGGCTTTTCGCTTTTGTGCTGCTTGTATAGAATCTAAAATGTTCCTTATACTTATTGCTTGTTGTGTGTCTTCCTCAACTAGATGGCATGCAACAACACAACAGAGGCTTAATTTTCCCTATTCATTTTCACATCCATACTTGTTAAGAAGAGTTCTCAGTAAACACTCTTGCAAAAAAAAAAAAAAAATGGCTGAATATTCTGCTATGGGGGGGGGGGGAGGCAGACACAAGGAATAGAGGAAATAGAAGATGAGAAAGAGTGGTGACTAATCACTGCCTGGACAGGCTGGCCATAATTCCAGAGAGATGAGAGAACACAGTTAGAAGCAATGGATCCAGCCTCCATCCATCTGACTGTCCCTCTGCTGAACCCCCGGGGACACCAAGCTAACAGGCCAGGAGCTGGCCAGTGACTTGTTACTTTGGCCATACTCAGTCCGGAGTCCTGCCCTACCTGGTATCTTGGTTAGAGTCCTGGGCCAGTCTCACCAGGTTGTGCACCAGCATGTCTGTGTTGTCTCTGGACCCTGAAAGCAGCTTCTCTGCACCAATCTGCTCCAGAACAGCGGAGAGATGCTTGGCAGTACATTTCCGGACTAACGGGTTCCGATGGCTAAAAGGAAACACAATCATGGCCAAGAGGTCAGTCATAGGGTGAGGATACAAGAACTGCAGACTAACACACATGCAGATCCGTAATTGCAGACTGTAAATAATGTTCACGGCAGTCATGACTTTAAAACCTGTCCTGTGTGACTGGGGGTTGGGGGGAGGCAGGGATGGTCTTTGGGTAGCTCCCAATGATGGAGCTAAAGTTGACCACAGCATCAATGGGAGTGGGAAGAGCAGCTGTATGAAGCCACATTGTTTTCAGGGCATTCTTGATCCCAAGCATTCCTTCTGCCATCTTTCTTCCACCTAGGAAAACCCTTCCCAATCAATCCCCTCTTCCTTCCCTAGTCCCACAGGTAGAATTAGATGCTCCCTCTGAGTTGGCACCTGCTTGGTCCCTGGTAAGTATAGTTGCACTCTTGTATCCCCCACCCACCAAATCAGGCTGCCAGCTCCCTGGAATTGAATACTATGCCACCATCTCAATTGCATCTCCCAGACTCCTGTTGATGCTAAGCTCTTGCATTGTGCTTAGTGACAACAGGGTGCTGTGGAATGTTATTTTAAGATGTGTTTCATCTGTTTATGCTGTAGAACATTTGTTCTAATGATGCAAAGATGCTTCGCATTCTTTTATGTTGCACTTGATTAACTCTGTGATGCTGTGTTACTTTGCCTGTCTAAAACACCTGATTGGTCTAATAAAGAGCTGAATAGCCAATAGCCAGGCAGGAGAAAGGATAGGTGGGGCTGACAGGCAGAGAGAATAAATAGAGGAGAAATCTGGGAGAAGAGAGATCAAGGAATGAGAAAAGAAGGGGCCATCGCCCAGCCACACAGCCAGCCATGGAGTAAGAGTGAAAGTAAGATTATGGGGGTCATCGCCCAGCCACACAGCCAGCCATGGAGTAAGAGCGAAAGTAAGATTATGGAAGTAAGAAAATAAAACAGTCCAGAGGTAAAAGGTAGATGGGAATAATTTAAGTTAAGAAAAGCTGGCTAGAAAAAAGCCAAGCTAAGTAAAGCCAGGCATTTATAAGTAATAATAAGCCTCCGTGCGTGATTTACTTGGGAGCTGGGTGGTGGGCCCCTCAAAGATCCAAAAGAGCAAAGAATAAAAACATCCAACAGCAGTGGGGTACACGTTGGTCACTTAACAAGTGGAACCTGACCTCTGATGGGAGAAACCCATCAAAGTGTTGCCTCTTTCAAATAAGGCTTGTGTGTTCACAGACTACCAGGCAGTTCTGGCATGTTCCACACAGAAGCATACACAGTGCCCACCTGCTGTGGACATAAAGCAGAACGTCAAATCTCTCCCTACTCAGTGTGACCCACAAGTCTATGCATTGGTGTCATATTAGCAAGGTTCCCAGGTGACTCAAACATATAAGCCCTGTTCTGGGCATCTTGAGAACAGTCTATCCTGGTCCTTGTTGACAGAGATCAGTGGTCACACCCCCTATTCCAGGCATCATGCCAAGCTCATCTTATCCATTATCTCCCAGAAACCATGAGTTGCTGCTGCCATCGTACTGCAAGGAAGCTGAGACAAAGAGAAAAATCTAGAAAAGGCACCATTTCCCCCAAGTCATCCAGCCACTGCCAGTGTTCCGTAATGCTAGAGAAAGCAGGCATTGTTCTGCATGCTGTATCATGAAGCTATTCATTGACTCCTCACAACCACTTCAGGGAAAAGACACCATTGTTATCTCCATCAGCTGAGGAAGCAAAGGCCTAGAGAGGTGATGTGACAATGTAAGGGGTGAGTCCAGGTCGTTTGGTCCAGGAGCAGCCTATGCTTCCCACACCCAATAGGCAGGGTGTGCTGGCAGGAGCAGAGGGCTCTGGGTAGGCTGAGAAGCCTGTGCCTCTGTGATGATTGACTTACGGGAACTGAGAGGTGTTTTGCCCTGTGGAAGGAAGGGCTTGGGAAAGGTCTTTGGTTTTGCTATTGATTTGGTTTTGACTTAAGGGAAAGTAAATCTGGCTCTAAACGTAGCCCATCACCTCTCTCCTGAGAGAGGCCAGTTTTGTCCCTGGCTCTCCTTGCTTGTCCATGTTTCAGCAAGAAAAAAAAAAAAAAACCAATGCTCCCCTGAGAGGGGCAGGGGCCCCCAGGGAACACCCCCAGGGAACAGCTGAGGCTGCTTCTACAACCCTGTCTCCCAAGCGTTGCCATGACCACTAAGCAGAACAACATCACTCTCTCCTTCCACCCACACTTTCCCCATTCTCCACAGCCTAGCCTAGGAAGGGTAGCAGGAGCCCACGGGATACAGGGTTTTGCTCCCTCTACTAAATGTGTGAGACACTCTCTCTAAAGCCTTACATGGATGCCTTAGCATGCTGACCCCTGGCATCCCAAGAGAGCCTCTACAGCCATGATTTCTGCTTCCTCCCTCCCGGTCCCTTTCTCCCATCCTTCTCTGCTCACTGCATATGCCAGCCCCCACCCCTCTCTCTCTTACACACACACACACACACACACACACACACACACCACATACTAGACACCCGCAGATGTGAGAGCCACCAATGCACGGGCAGGGGTCACATTTTCCACCATGGCACCCAGAGCCCGGTTGGCTGCCCGCTGGATGAACTCGCTGGTGTTTCCCATCTTATGCAGAAGGCAGCGGGCAATCTCCTCAGCCTCCTGGTCCATGCTCTTCTTCAAAGACCGGAAGAGGTCTCCCAGGGTGCTGATGGCCAGGCGGGATACCTTGGAGCGGAGGTTGGTGACCTTGGAGAGAGAGGAGAAGGGGCCTCCAGGACAGCTGTACCTTTTCAAGGTTCTGAACACACTGTGCGGCCCCCTCTGCTGCCTCCTCACTTGTGCCGAGGCCCTCATCCTTTGCCACACTAGAAATGAAAACCTTTCAGTGTCTTTGGGCAGAACAGCCTCATTTTGTTATCATCATATCCCACTTTGTTATCATCGAAACTATTAATTCCATTTTCAACATTATCTGAAGTTTGTACATTTGCTTTAAATTTGAAACTTTCCCTCCAGGTCCATGTTATGAACACTTGTTCCCCAGTTGTTGGTGCTATTTTAGGAAGATGGGGAACTTTCAGGAGGAGGAGCCTAACCAATGCAAGTAGATCGATAGGGGCAGGCCTTTGTTCTAGCCCCGCCCCCATTCCTCTGGGCTCTCTGTTAGCTATATCTGCCATAACCACATTATCATTTGCCATGCCTTCCCTGCCATGATAGACTGAAATACCCCTGAAACCATGAGGCAAAATCTTTCCTCCCTTAGGCTGCTTCTCTCAAGAAAAGAAGGGATACAGCACATTTACAGAAACGTTTCTTTGTTCTTCACACCACACTCACTCTGCAGAGGAAGAAACCAACCCTCAATCACATGATGCATTCCCAGTCAAGTATGGACACAATGTCCCCTGTATTCATAACCACCCCACCCTTGCTAGAGCAGTCTGTTCCCGAGGGTGTAGGCTGGCCTCTACAGGGATCAAGCTCATGTTACAGGCTCTCAGGGCAGGACCTAGGCTGAGATCTAAGCCTTGGGATATGCTACAATAGCCCTGAGATTGAGGATCAACCCAGAGTACTCCAACCCTCGTTAGACATTGCAACCAGAGAAGACAATGGACAGTGACAAATGGGAATGCAGGACTCCAAATGCTTCAACTCCCAAATATTACAAGATTGCAGATAAAGAAAACCTGGGTCTCAGGTCTGATATCCCAGGGATGGATGGGGACCTCCCTACCTCAGTGACTGAAGGCTGATGAATAAGCAGAGATGGCCATGCTCCAGAGAGACATAGTCTCTCATGGCTGAGGTGTTACTCACCTGAACAGCTGTGACAGGAAGGGGTATAATTAGGGGAAGAAGAAGATACAGAAGCTGTGGGGAGGCCTCACCTCCGCAGTCACTGCCAAGGACACATCATGCAGCCGGGTACCAAGGACCTCCGAGTGACAAGCTGCCAGGCGCTGGATGCTTGCCAGGCCCTTCTCCTTCATTTGCCTGAGAAGCAAGGCCAGGCCTGTCACAGGGGGGAGGAGGGTGGAGTCCTGTTTCTCTGCAGACAACCCCCAGCAGGGTGTGATTGCATGGCCTCAGAAGGAGGGTTTGTTTCTAGGGTGACAACACCCAGGCTTGGGGTCCTAGTAGGTCAATATAAGCTGGTTTAAGGGCTCTTGCCTGGCCCTCCACTCTGGTCACCCAGGACCTATTTGGGTCTTCGACACAAGACAGACAATGCCAAGAAGTTGCTTGAAGTGAGGCCTGAAGATTGGAAGGTTTTTACAAGTGTCTGGGCCACTGCTTCACTAGTGACTGAGCTCATATGTCTCATTTGCATAGTGGGAGGACACTCATACTAAACTTGATTTAGATGGCGATATATCTTTGTTAGTCAAATTCTTGCCTAGCATGCACGAGGCCCAACACCACATAGACTGCACATGGTGGCACATGGCTGTCATCCCTGTCCGAACTCAGGAGGCTGAGGCAGAAGGATCAGAAGCTCAAGGTTATTCTTAGTAAATTCAAGGACAGTCTGGTATACATGAGACCCTGTTTTAAAACACATAAAATAATAAACTTGATGTAGAGGAATAAAGCTGTGGCTTTCCTCCGTCTCTTTGTTCTGTAGTCAAATTCCTAGTGGTCATGCTTGGCTCAAAATCACAGAACAATACACAGGACTACTTGGAAGGGCCCAGGGCATGTACAAGAAGTTAGAGATACCACACACATGAACCTACATGTGTGCTTGCACATCTGCATGCACACACACACACACACACACACACACACACACACACATTTTCCATAGCAGCAGACCCTAGGGGTAAGGGAGGAGGGACATTGTGGGGCTGGAGCTATTCTGTATCCCTCCTAAATAACCTCCCACAGCCCAAGCCACAGGCCATACAACAAAGGTGCCCCCTCACCAGTCATTACTGTGGAGGCACTGAAGGGCATCCGTCAGTCCCAACTCTGGATTTGAGAAGGGCCTCAACTCCCTGAAGGCCCGAAGATCCGCCTCCTCCTCCTCTTCCTCCCATTCAGGAGAGCCCAAGGTGAGCACAGCAGGTAATGAGTTAGCTGCATGGGAGGAAGAGACAGCAAGCTTCACCCAGGAGGATGGAGAAGTGTGTGTCTGCGTACACACACACACACACACACACACACACACACACACACACAGAGCCACTGAGCCTGACCCTCAGTGCAGCCCCCCACACAGGGAGAAGAGCCTGAGATGGCAAAGTTAGCATTTATGCCTAACTTGCCCTGACTTTCCACCTATTGTTTATACCAGTGCTAGCCTTTTTGCATTAGGAACACACTGACAGCTGGGCGTCACGTGGAAGCCCGCTGAGCCTGTGACTCGCCTCCAGTTCTTCCCTCCCTTGGCTGGGATGTGACACAATGAGTCGCTGAAAGACTTCCTGCTCACTTGATAGTATTTTAAGCTCACTCTGACCCATTAACCTCTATCCCTTTGCTCCAGCCATCCCTCCCCTTGTGAGAGTACCTGAGCAGGAAGCACTCCAGCAGATAGCTGAGGAAGGCAGAGGGCAGGGAAAAGATTGGAGGAGATTGTCACCTGCAGGGTCAAGATGTGGCACCGCTTTCAAGGACTGACAGAAAACAGGAATGGCTGAGGTATAGAATGCTTGCCTAGCATTTGTGAGGCTCTGGGTTCAGTTAAGACAGACAGACAGACACAGAGAGAAACAGACAGACACATACACAGAGAAAAACACAGAGGCAAAGAACAGAACCTGTTTTCTTTCTGGTGAATAGATGCTAGAATCACAAAATTCTAGAAGAACCAGAAGGAATTTCAGAGACACAGCACAGCCCCTCAATTCCTCTATCATACAGCCAGCACTGAGCTCTCTCCACCATGTGTCTCTTCCTGGCTAGTTCTGCTGTGAGGGTTACCTGGTTCCCCTCCCCCAGAATGACTTTCACTATAGTACACCCAGGAGATCCTGGATCTGGGTACATTTGTGAGTGTGTGTGTGTGTGTGTGTGTGTGTGTGTGTGTGTGTTTATTGAGCATATTATGTGAGAGAGGGCATATGTATGAGCATGTGTGTGTATATACATGTGTGTGAACATGTTGTGAGTGTGTGTGTAAGCATGTGTATGAACATGTGTAAGCATATATGTGAGTGTGTGTGAGCATATATGTGAGCCTGTGGGGGGGGGGTGTATGTGTGCATTTTACTGGAGATTGAACTCATAACCTTCCAACATGCCAGGCAAGAACTGTAGCACTGAGCTATATCACCAACCCTCTTTACTTTTTATCTCTAGACAAGGTCTCACTAAATCATCCAGCCTGGCCTTGAACATTCAATCTTCTTATTTTAGCCTCCTGGATATCTGATGATGTAGTTCCGCACCAGCCTCCTAGTACACACCCTCCCTCCACAACACCCTCCAACATCATTGAACTCCCACCTAGAATTTAAGCACATAATTGCACATAGAAACACATACAGACTACAGGGCCCTGCAGGGGTCACTCCAAATTCTAGCCTCTAGGGTTTGTGTTGATTTTGTCTTAGCTGCCCCTCGCCTACCAGCTTCTCTACAGTGCTCATGAGAATGCCTTCCCACAAGTGGCCCAGGAATTTCCATTCTCGGTACACACACTCGAGCATGCATGTGCACACACACACACACACATACACACACACACACACACACACAGAGAGAGAGAGAGAGAGAGAGAGAGAGCACTGAAGAAATGCAAGTGAGCTGGTCTCCCAGCTCATGGTCCCCTGAGACAGGCTGGAATCTCACAAAGTTCATTAAGGATGTGAAGACAACCAAGTTTCCAGTCCTGAAATTCCATCATTTTCAGACAGGCCAAAAACTAGGTGCAGATGTAAATGATAAAAGCCACTTAAGTGACACTCCAGTGACTGTCGAGGGAGGGAAGAGAAAGAGGATTCACACTCAGCTTCCAGGGAGGCCAAAGACATTGCCCTTTCCTAATCAACCCATCTGCTCACAAGCATGCATAGCTTCAGTAATGAGACAGTAGCAGACCATACTGGATCAAGACTCAGCAGCCAACGGCTGGAGGCCCACCATCTCTGTGGGTGACTTGAATCTTGGGTTCTCCACTCTGCTGTCTACAAAGTGAGAGGGGTGGATTAGACGGATCACATGTGTGATTCACTCTCTCACACACAAAACCCAGGCCACAGGGCACACAGGACGGTGCTGCCTCACCAGTCATCACTGTTGAGGAGGGCATCTGTCAACCCCAGTGCATTCTCTCCATCTCTCACCAGAGAGCAAGAGACAGAGAAACAGACAGACAGACAGACAGACAGACAGAGACAGCACACACAGAGAGACAGAGAGATAAAGCCAGGCCTTGCACATGTAGTTCTGTGCTGCACACTAAGCTAAAGCCCTGGCCAGCTGTATCTTCTAATTACCTATAATTTTCATCTCTTTTGTACTTCCCTTTGAATTAAGCATCTTTATAGATCCTAAATAAATTTATTTTAAAGGGAATTTTAGGTCACAGTCATAGTAGGTAAACTAGTGTTGCTTGTGACAGACTATAGTTTTTATAAGAGTGGAATAATCTTGAAAACCCCAGCTATGAAATTTAGCTTCTGAAGCCTCTGAGCCTAAATGTGGGTCTTTCTGTTGAAACAAAAAGCAAAACCAAAGATGAAGGCCTGTGACCCTAGCACCTGAGAGGCCAAGGTACAAAGATCAAGGGCCACATAGCAAGACCTGTCACACAAGTGATAACAATAAAATGATAGATACTGAAAACAAAGCCCCAATTGAAGGCTTTTTATTTGACACAACTGAAAAGACACAAAGAATGGGAAAGGGAAGTGAGTCAAAAATACTTCAAAAGCTCTGCTTTAGCTGGCCATCATTATCTGCCACGTGACAGGAAATCTGAATCAGAATGACTAATTTCAACCTTTACTTAAAAAAGTGAGATTCCTTTGAAAGTAGGACAGGGCTTTCCCCAGTTCCCTGAGATGTCCTCGCCACATCTACAGATTCCTTGGTCCTAGCCACCCCCATCTAACCCCAACAGTATGAAGTCACAGGCAGGCCGCCAAGATCTTCCCTGAGCCCCCAGGGAAGTTCCTTGCCAGCATCTTTGGTCCTCATATACTGATGGCTTCTAAGACACGTCACACTAGGCTGGTAGAACTGTTTAGCCATCTATTTGCTAGATGAGCCATCTTGAACCCCCTAGCCTGGTCCATGGATAATTATGGGCCCCAGACTCTCTCTCTTAGTAAGATGAGTATGGACAACATGACAAAGACAGGTAGCCTAGGTCTCCCTGGCCTAGGCTACCCCAGAGCACCCAGAGATGACCCACGTAGAGGTCAAGTCCCACCTGATGCATGGCGGGCAAAGCTGGGCTCCTGCTTACTGACAGGGATGCTGGGCAGGGAGGCTCTGTTGGCCCGCTTCCTCAGGAGGACTCCAGTGTTATTTCTGCGTGGACTACTCAGCCCAGTAGGCACAGAAAGGGTTCCACTGCCCCGCAAAGGAAGGAGGCCTGTGGGAAAAAAAAATCCTATGCTAAGGAGGTCCTCCACCTCCTTGGCATCAAGTTTCTGTGGATATGTGTGCATCAGCAGGTGACAAGGGAGTGGACATGACTCCCTGTCCTGTCTCAGGATGGGGAAAGAAAGGAGATGTGGCTCGCCCCCCCTTTGGAAGGTTGTGAGCTCCAGAGTTGTCCAGGAGGCTTCCCCAGTGGAGACACCCATCCAGTGCACCAGTGCTCCCACCCAGTGCACCAGTGCTCCCACCCAGTGCACCAATGCTCCCACCCAGTGCACCAGTGCTCCCACCCAGAGCACCAGTGCTCCCACCCAGAGCACCAGTACCTTCCTTTGCTGAAGTTCTCCATGTGCCCAAGCCCTGGGAAGGCAGTTCCTTCTCCAGCTCAGGCTCCTTTGCCCTCCGAAGCAGCTCCATCTCCTTCATCTGCTTCAGCCGCATCTTTTCCTGGGCAGACTTGGAAATGGTGACTTGGACCTGGAACAAGGTCAAGGAAATGTCATTAACCTTGGAGACAGCCTTTCTACACCTTCATTCATTTAGTCATGAAACACAAGGCTACCTCCTATGTGTCAGCCACTGCTCCAGAGGGAACAAAACAGAGTTAAGTCCTGGTCTCCTGGGAGCTTCAGGGCAGGGGTGGGGCACAGACAATAAATAAACAATCAACCTGTCTGTATGCCATATGAGATATGCTAGAAGAAAAGCAGAGCAACAGAGATGGTGGCTTTGACTTTGGGTAAGAAACCCCGTAGATAGGGGGCTTCCTTCAGGGGGAAATTTTAGTGGAGACAAACAGAAAGAGACATAGCAGGCCAAGTAGTTTTGAGGAGAGAGGTGTTTTAGCTGAATGACCACAAAGTCACTGAGGTTGGGGTATGCCTAGCATAAGTGGGAGCACCCTGAGTTAAAGCAGGCCAGGAAGTGACAGGCTACATCTCACACTGATTTTTAGGGCCCATGACAAGGGCTCAGGCTTTTCCTCAGGACATAGAGGTCATTTAAAGTCCTGAGCAGGGATGTGACAGGATCCAACTTCCATTTGAGGAAAGCAGTTTCTCCAAAGGCTGTATTTTCATAACATTTTATCTTTAAATAGCTTGATATTCCTAAGAAGTAAAAATGGAGCCAGGTGTAGTGGCTTGTGCCTTTAATTCCATAACTTGGGAGGCAGAGGCAGGCAGATCTTTGTGAGTTTGAGGGCAACCTGGTCTACATAGTGAGTTCTAGGACAATCAGAGCTGTATAGTGAGACTCTGTCTCAAAAAAAGGGGAAGGGGGGAGAAGTTATAAAACTGGGATGAAAACCCCATGTGCCCTTCATCCAGCTTCACCCAGTGATGCTACCAACAACCATAGAACATTTTGACTTCTGTTTCCCAAAGACCACACTGACTACTACACTCAAGAGCATGGAAAAACATTAGAGAATAATGGAACATCCATGCCAAAATGGGGATTAGGGAGGACCAGTCTAAAGGGAGAGCATGGGGACAGTGGAGCACAAAAACTGTTTGCAAGTAGAGTTGGTTCTGCTGGCATATAAAATATAGGGAGAGAGAGGAAGACAATCCAAAAGTGCACCTGGGATTTGGAGCCTGAGAAGCTAGGAATTGTCATCTGCTAGGTGGGGACTCTGTGATGTAAGGATTCAAGAGTAGGCATGGTAGGTTTAGAACTTAATTAGATATTTAAGTAGTGATGCTGGATGTTATTCTGTATATATGTTTCTCTTATTGGTTGATGAATAAAACACTGACTGGCCAGGAGAGGCAAGAAGATAGACGGGGCTAGGAGACAAGGAGAATGTTGGGGAGAGAGGCAGAGAGAAGCCGAAAAGAGATGCCATGAAGAGACTGGGAAGATGGGATGCGCTAGGTGTTCTCTGGTAAGATAAGGCCATATAGAAATACATAGATTAGTAGTTATAGGTTAATAACTAAGACAGAGCCAATAAGAAGCCTAAGCCATCAGCCAAATGTTTTATAATTAATATCGCATCCGTGTGTTTATTTGGGGCTGAAGGGCAGCGGGACCTGGCAGAACGGAAACCTCTGTCTTCAGAGGTATGATAAGGATTTTGACAATCTTTAGACTGCCATACTTTAGACACAGTTGTTGGTACCTTGGACTAGAGCACACATTCTGAGATAATTAAATAGCCCAGAGACCAGAAGACTGAGCCCTAGGGTCTTCAGTGTCTACAGGCCGAGAAGATGGAGGAGTGTACAAAAGATGGAGATGAGCTGTCTATCGTGAATATCAGGACCACCTCCTTTCTCACCTCCATCTTCAGTGGAAAGTTGAAGAGGGGACATGTCACAAACTAGGTCAAAGCTGGTGCAAGGCAGGAGAGGATTGAGATGTGGCATTTGGGACCTCAGTGGGGCAATGGGGAGTGAGACTCCCTCCCAGACTGGAGTGTGCTCAGGAGAAACAGGAGTTGTGCGGAGTGGGGGTTGTGATGTTAAGACGAAAAGGCTAACAGAGAGCCATTGGGCTGCTAGGAGTGATCTGGACTCGGGGCGAACGAATGTCACTAATACAAGAAAGCAGCCCAAGGCTAATGCTGGAGCAGTGGGGGATGGAGCCAGAACAGGGATGGTGGTGACAAGTGGGACCTTGGAGTTGGGATAATAGGGGGGGACAAAACCACTTGTCCAGGCCTGTGGAATGACCATGGAGTGAGTGGCTGAAGCAGGCTGCAGAATAAAGTCAAGTCACACAGAGACTTTCCATGGCCACCCTCAGTAGGTGTTGTCAGTAAGGCATCTCTGGCTGTGACAAGCACACTCTGAGGGCAGGCCTTTCACATCTGTTGCAAAGCTGAGCTGCTGCCATGGCTTTTTCAAAGGACAAACATGAGGATCCCACAACAGCTCTGTGAGTTTGACTAATTTCATCTCAATCAGGAAAGAGAAGCCACCTCCTCCGGAAGGTCACCTTCCAAGTGCAAGGTATTTGTCAGCCTGTCAAGGGCAGCTTTGGCCCACGAGTCTCTGAGTCAGCTGCCTCTCGGCTGCTATCTTGGAGGTCAGTTCAAATTACTCAGCCTGCTTCATCCAAGCCTTCTGGGCTCTGTCCAGCATCCCGCTCCCTGCAGCCCACATGCGACCTTCTTCTGTCCTTCCTGCTCTCCTTCCATCTGCATTCTTCCCTGTTCCCAGCCCCCACTCTCATCCTCAGCACCCCATGCCCCCACCCCAGCTTCTCTTGCTCTCTGCAGTTCCTCCCCAAACAAACTGTCCACAGGAGGGCTTAAGTGCTTGGGGAAACAGCTTTGGCAGTTCTTGGCTCTGCCTTATTCCCCACCAGCTGCCCCCCCCCAGCAGATTTTAGAAGCATGCTTGCATCCAGCCAGTTGGACCTCAGTTTTTCCTCCTGTCATTCCCCTGGTACCTTCTGGTCCTTCTGGTCTTCGCTCACCAGGGAGTGGGCTTCTTTGGCATGGCTCGGGGAGAAAGTTGTTGGAGTAGAGGTGGACTGTGATGAAGCCAGGGACATTGGGGGGCCTTCAGCAGACTTGGCTTTGACAGCTGGGACCAAAGGCTTTGGCTCTGAGAAGTCAAGAGCAGGGACAGAGCTGAGGACAGTGGCACCACGGGCTGTTAATGGGTCCCTGACCCTGTGGCTGATGGACTTGACTGTGCAAGTCCTCATTCCTCCGTCCCTCTGGCACACACTTCCCTAACAGGGAAATTAGGTTTATTCCCTAAAGTAGCATTGCCAAGAATACCAAGGGCCTTGTCATTCTCCATTCATTCACTCATTCACGCACTTATTCAGAAAGCAAGCACTGGATATTTTATTCTAAGAGGACAGAGGGTGGGAAAACAGAGTCAAATAAAACACACCTGTTGATGCCACTCCAGCAGAACTAGAAGGGGCCAGAGAATTTTTGAAAACTAGACCATCCCTACCACTTTACAGTTGGGAAAACTGAGGCCCAACAACCTTCATTTCCAAATACCAATTCCATAGAATCTTATCATCACTCTATATTTTCCCAGTCAATGGATTTATTTTTTATTTGAATTAGAAACAAAATTATTTTACATGACAATCCCAGTTCCCTTCTCCCTCCTGTCCTCCCTTACCACCCCCCCAACTAAAACCCTACCTATCACATATCCTTTCTGCTCCCCCTGGATGGTGAGGCCTTCCATAGGGTGTCATCAGAATCTATCATATCCTTTGGGATAGGGCCTAGGCCCACCCCCATGTGTCTTAGCTCAGGGAGTATTCCTCTATGTGGAATGGGCTCCCAAAGTCCACACCTATGCTAGGGATAAGTACTGAACTTCTACAGGAGGTCCCGTAGATTTCCGAGGTTTCCTCACTGAAACCCATGTTCCTGGGGTCTGGATCAGTCCCATGCTGGTATCCCAGCTATCAGTCTGGGGAGCAAGAGTTCCCCGATGTTCAGGTCAGCTGTTCCAGTCAATGGATTTAAAGGTACATCGTTTTAAATAGAGACAGAATAGGAATGGGTTCCTTAATTTTCTCCTGCCCCTAAATTTGGCCATTCATCACCTGGAGAGAGCCAGCTAACCAGGGGTTCATTGGAAGTGGGGCTGCCACTTGGGGGTACTCGGGACTGGAAAGGGCATTTTGTGTCTGTGTTTTTGCACAGCTCTTTGATCACCAGTTCCTCTGCCTCACCCATGTCTTCATAAAGGGTCCTTCTGCTTTGTGACAGTGGAGAAGGGCTAAGAAGTCAAAGATGGGGGTAAGATGCAGATGTTCAGGATGGCATCTGTGAGAAAGCCACAAGACTTGAGACAGCGTGGCAGTCCTTACTGTATACAATGTCACCCCCAGCTGACAGCCTGAGACAAACTGTGAGCTAAGATCATGTATATATCCAATTTCTCACCTACACTCGCAAGGGACACCTAGAAAGCCTGTCTGAGCAGACTGTCCCTGTTCATGGACACCTGGTGACATGGTCTCCTGACCCAAACACCCACGCCAGCCACCTGAGGGCTAGCTCATGAAGACATACAGGTATCGTGTGCATCCCCTCAGGCATCCCAGGGACATCCCACACAACTGAACCAGGGAGGCAGGAGAAGCATCAGCCATTGAGGCATCCCTGCCAAGCCTGCCTCTCACGCCCAGCTCAGTATCTTATCCCAGAGTGTCCTGGACAACAGCCTGTGACTCCGCCAGCTGCCTCACCTTGCTGAGCTAATTAGTCAGGGACCTTCCAGGAAGTTGGTTACCCTCCTGCCAGTAAGCAAAGCAGCCTGAGCTCAGCGTGCCCCTCATGGGCTGTAGCCTCTTTTCCTGCCTCCTAATCACTCTCCAGCCATGGCCTCTCCCAGGCAGATCACGAGCCCCAAAGGGATGACCTTCTACATTCATTCCCCTCCCTTCTCCCTGCTTCTCTTTACCTCTCCCTCCTGCTTCTAGAAAGCTTCTCTTCTCCCACTTGCACCCAGGTTGGCCTGCTCTCCTGACCTTTGAATTTGCTAAGAGCAACTGTCTGAGGTTTGCAAGAGGTGGTTTACTGTCACGCTCTGTAAAGTGAGGACATGTCAATATGCTTACCACAAAGCAAGCAGCCTCTGCTTGGTGAGTCAGGCCCACCCTGTCCCGGTGCAACCCCAGTGCAATTGTGACCCGGCTGCTTTTCAGGCTCTGCGAGCAGTATTGGGAGCTCAGTAAACATCAAGGTGGCCTGGATCAAACTACTCAGCCCGCTTCACCTGGTTCACCAAAAAGGAACAGCATATCTCCCTAGTCTGGACTGTCATGAGCTACATGAGCTGGTGTGCACCCTGGTGCTCAGTAGAGTAGATGCCAATAAGAGCTGCTGCCTTCCTAGTGTCTGGTACAAGCTTGTCACCACTCTATAGTTTGGTGATATATTCCCCATCTGCCTGTGAAATGAGGGATCCTCTGGTCTCTAATGGCCAAATTCCATAACCCAATCCATGGATGCAAAGAACAGAAACAAGATGAGTGTTCATGGGAATACGTACCCAGAGATGTAGGGGTCTTCTCCAGAGACCCATTCTCACAAGTCAGCCTTAAAGGAAGAGAGAAAAGAACTGTATGAGATCCAGTTAGCCAGAGACACTGCAGCGAGAAGCCTGGGGTTGCTCCAAGGTGGGAGACAGTGAGACGGACAGAGAAATGGGGCTGGTTTTCCTGCCAGAGTGGCAGGAGATGTAGCTCCTTACACAAAGACTGGATTAGTTGATTATCTGCCAGGCTAGGCTGGGAGTCCAGGCACAGGTGCTAGGCAGTTCCCTGGCAGTGCAATCATCTGTTTCCTAGGCAACAGCATCCACATGAAAACTGCTGTCTTAAACTAGATCCATGTCTTTGACTCTACCTGAATGGAAGACCTAGAACCTCTCCCCTCAGTTCTGACACAGCCCCTTCTTTGGCCTATGCTTCATGGCAAGTGTTTTAGCTGCTAAGCCATCTCTCCTTCTCCCCATTGCTCACCATACATTTTTTAAAATGTGTGTATATGTTGTACATGACTGTTTGTATCAGCGTTTCATTGTGGGGGTGCATGCATGGAAGATGCACATACAAGTGTGTGTGTGTGTGTCTGGAGGCTCAAGGTAGAAGCTGAATGTCTCCCTCCATCACTCTCCCCCTTATGTTTTGAGGCAGGGTCTCTCACTGAACCCAAAACTCACTGTTTCAGCTAGAGTGGCTACCCAGCTTGCCCTGAGGAGTCCATCTCTACCTCTCACACACTGGGGTCATAGGATGGGCCATGATGGCCATCAGCTCTCAAGATTACACTGCAAATGCTTTACCTGCCAAACCATCGACCCAGCCCCACAGTGACCTTCTAAAGTCAGAGATTGTCTAATCCCCACATCTAAGAGCTTTTGATGACACCTCGTTGCTTCAAGATAGGGCATTTATAGGGCCCCCAGACAAGCTGAGCCTATCTCACAAGCAGTGTCTTCTATGTCATTCCTCCCTGTGTATCTTTCTCCTCCATCTTACACTGTCTCCCCTTCAAAATTCCTCTAAGAAAGCATCCCAGCTTGATTGAGACACTTTTCTGTTGGGCTTCCCAACATGGTGGTCAGCCTTCTGCCTACCTCCAGTCTCACTGGACTTGGACTCAGTGATTTGCAAACACGTCTCTCTCATCACCAAAGACTTATTCACCCTGGTTTCCAAAGCACCTAGCAGATAGTGGGTGCTTAATAGTTTTTAAGTAAATAAATGATTCGGTAGGTGAATGAATGAATGAATGAATGAATGAAGTGGCAATAGAATGATGCTTCCATCCATTTACTAGACAGCCTTACAGAATTGCAGATGGACAGCATAAGGCAGGAGTTTACTATGTGACTAATTCATGGCAAGCACTGACCTTAGAATCAAAGGCTTTTGAGATTCAGCTCCTGTCTTATAAAGTGCCAAATTAAAGAACAGAATGAGGTTTAAACAAGAAAAAATAAATAAAATGAAGAAACATAAAAAAGAAACAAGAATCTTTTTAAGTAGCCAAGGTTTGTCAGTTAAATCAATGAAACAATGAAAGGTAGGTGGGCAGTCTATGTCATATGAACAAAGCAGAGGTGGCCACTTGCCGGTCATAAAAGCCAGGTGAGGCAGGGATGGAAGGACAGTATGGTTGTACAGGATAGAAAAGTGCCACATAGGAAGTGAGGCTTTGGTTCAGGAATCAGCCGGCCCACAAAGGTGTGAGATGGACCCTGTATATAGCACAGGAAGCGGTGAGGTGCTCCCTGTGTGTAACACAGGAGGAGGGTGAGGTGCTCCCTGTGTGTAATACAAGAGGAGGGTGAGGTGCTCCCTGTGTGTAATACAAGAGGAGGGTGAGGTGCTCCCTGTGTGTAATACAAGAGGAGGGTGAGGTGCTCCCTGTGTGTAATACAAGAGGAGGGTGAGGTGCTCCCTGTGTGTAATACAAGAGGAGGGTGAGGTGCTCCCTGTGTGTAA